CATCCCTCGGAACTTGTACCCCGGCATCAACGTTTTCCACATGATCTTCTCGTTCTCTGTATGGTCTGACTACCTATAGAATCATAGACGGTTAATTTAAATGATTTATAAGAACGGTTCATTCTAGACTGAACCAAATAAACAATAGTGTATTTATTGTGAAACAATAACATGGTAATAATATTTTATTTTCTATTTGTTTCCAATGCACAATATAGTACCTATAGTTATGAAAGTCATTAACTTTGATGTCAATTAAAAGTGTAATGCAATGTAATCAAAAAATGTTGTAGTTTGTAGAATGTACCAAACCATACATGCCCCAATTTATTAATTGATTTTCTATGTAAGAAAATGGAATTGCAGTTTATAAATATTAAGGTTGAGGTGTAACAAAAAAAAAAAGAAATTTGTTAAATTACATAAGGTTTGTGGTGACAAATAATTTTTGTGTCATATAACACCGTGTCATCATTCGTATATAGTATCGTTGAGTTTAGTTTAATGTAATATATATTTAAAAAAAATGAACTGTAAGTTAAGTTAAATAAGCAAACAAATTATAAATTATGAGCACAGTATATTCACTATTGGAGTAGTTAACTATGGTTATAGTAATTACAGTTTATAACGTCACATAGAATTTTTAAGTGAAAAAAGTCATCTGAATAACATTAATACAGGATTGTTACACTTAACTTAATGTAGAATAAATTGAATTGTCAAAGACAATGAAGATATATGTGTATGTGAAAAGTACCTATAATAATGTAATATATTTTGTTATATGTATGTTATTAGGTATAAATGATGAGCAAAGTGAATCGACTATTGTAATAGTTAAGTATGGTTATAGTAATAATAGTATATAGATCACATGGCATTTTTAAGTGAAAAAACTCATCTGATGACATTAATAGGTACAATATTGTTAAACTTAACTTAATATAGAATTCACTAAATTTTCAAAGGCAATCAAGATATGTGAAAGTGAAATGTACCTATAATTATGTAATGATATTTGAATGTAAAATGTTGTTAACAAAAGTAAATATTTTGGTGGTAGGTATGTAAATTTTTTATCCCTAAACTATAAGGATATAAGAGTGTTAGTGAAGTTAATGAGCTATATAGAGTAATAAAACATTTGTAATGAAATAGGTGGATATTGCATAATTCAACAACTGTAGGATAAAATTAACATATTCAATATATCATGGTGCTCTAGCGTAGACCCTTTTGTTACAGTTTATCCATCAAAAAGTGTATGTTTTGCTGTACAGCCAGGTAGGTAGTTAGGTAGGTAAGCAATATGTATTGTAATACAGTGTTATGGTTGTGTTTGAAATGAATGAGTTATGATGCTTGGAGATGTATGTCTGATATGTAGATACTCACCAAAGATGGCACTGCTGTATGGAACAGAGAACGGCGTCGCGCATGTTCCTGTCTGTAGTCAAGGCCAGGAACAAAATGCCTCGAACACAACGTAGAGGTTAGGTTTACAGGAAAACCTTGGTTCACCACGAATTCCACCCACTGAAGACGACGTTCGTCAGTTGGAAATCTAAGGATGGATGCGATTTATAACATGTCACATTATTGTTATGTGAAATTGTAAATACCTGTGCACCGAAACGTTATTGTCACCATCCACGTTTCCACAGATCACACATCGTTTCACCATTGTGAATAGCCTGGAACGCATAATAGTTATATAACGAACACAACAATATACAAAATTATTATAACGAAAGTATTGAAAGCATTTTGAAATGATGATCGTATCGTTATGTTATCAGTAATGATTAAGCAACTTGTGTTATTTTTAGAATCGATATAGTTTGTACATTGTTCTAAGGTTTGTACTTTGTACATAAGTACATTATACATGAAAAATGGAAAAATACGAAAAACGACATACTAAGCTTGAAGAATGTTAAAGCCACAAAACAAAATTGAATGAATATATACGCAATGTTAACGCAAATACTTAAGATACGGACGGCGTCAGTGGAACGGCTGACGTGACTGAGTCCGATTACGAATCTGGATATAAAAAACGTTATATTCAATTTTATACGCTGAAAAAGAAACATATTGTAACGCGCCATGATCAGTGATCACAATGTTATGTACAATGTTTGAAGTGTGTACAGAAGCGGCCGTTAACGATAAGCGCTGCCATGAGTAGGTACCTACATGTTATGTAATGGATGTACAAACGCACGGGATAGGTACTAATGCTAATATTATTATTATGTCTGTCAAAATTGTACTCACCGGTATCAAAAATCGCCTTATCCAAAACCAAAAATACGTTAGAAAGAAAGCACTTGTTAGGAGTCTAGAAATATTAAAATGTGCAAAAGAATCACCAATGTTCCTGTGCATTTACAAACGTCTCCTTCGAACGTTAGCCGTAGCCTGACGTTGGATAACACAGTACGGTTCCGCGAGCTTAGTTACCCTCTCCATTCCACCCGCCGAACGATAAATTTTAACTAATGAAGGTCCAAAGGGCATTTAATGTTACGGACAGACGGTAATAAAAGATACGGATTACGGAATACAAATTTTTATATATATAACAATCATGGAAATTTTGAAAAATGTGGAAGAAATGTAGGATATCTTACGTCTAATAATTACTATACATATATTTATTAATAATAAAGAAGATTATACAGGAAAGGTAAATGTATAATAATAATTTTTATGTAATAAGAAAGAGAAAAGATCGGAAATTTTAAAAATTACGTAGAAAAAAAAAATGCAAAAAAAGTCGAGTTTCGGGCGGCAGTGTTAATCATACGGGACAGGCGGTCTCGACCGCCCGGGCAGCATACAACGGATTTGAACCCGGGACCTATGTGTTTTCTACCTAACGCCTAACCTACTCGGACACAATTTGAGATATGAAATACGGTCAAAACATCAACACTTAAGCCGTGCGTCTACGGAGCGACGTACACCGATATATTCGATGTAATCACATATAATTCGCTTGTAATACGCGCATCTCCCATATATATATTTAACGGGGCGTGTGAAAAGCGTTTTCCGTTAATAATTATTAAATCATAGGGAAAAATTAAATTATAGACATGTATATATACGCGTACGGTCGGCCGGTCGCTGGCGTAATTTCTAAACGCGAACCGATTTCGAGGGAAAAGCGCGTTAATTACACGATGCAGGCACGAACGGCGTGCGAAAAGACGAAACGGTGAGAGAAAACAAAAAGAAATGGGCAAAAAGTCCGGCGTATTTTTCGATCGATATTGCGACCGCTTCGGACGGCGCACGAATATAAACCGCACACGGGCGGCTTCAAGAGATCGCGAGCTACGCGAATCATAAAGGGCGAAAAGGTTCGAAAATGATCGAAATCGTATAAAAACATCTAACTTTCCGAAAATTTCAAAAATCGGCCGCGACGTTTTAAAACCGACCGCCGCCGCTGCGAAGGTACGCGATTGGTCGCGCTATAAGGAATCGACGGGACACGGCCGGCGGGCTGGGGAAACGGAGCGGTGCTTCATTTTTTACTCCACGGTTTCACTCTAACTGCGTTTTCCGTTCCACGGGTTGCTTGTATTATCAGTCAGCTGTTCTTCATTTTATAGTATTAGATTTTATATCGTATTTTATTATTTTTAAACATTTAGTTTACAAAAAAAAAAAAATATTTTATATAAGTCATTTTACATTTACTATTTTATTTGACCGTTAAAAAAAATATTATTCCTAATACATTTTGTATAATAAATGAAATGTTTTGCCAACCGACAAAATGGCGGCCGTTCACAGCTGAGCTTCACTTGTAACAATGTAAATTGTATAAGAGTTCCTTATCTAGTGTAGTATAGAAGTCTGTGATTAATAATTATGGCGCGAAGTGTTATCAGTGTTATCACAGAATTATTGTAATCGTACAATTGAATTTTCACAACAGTAATTTTTATAATAAAATTTAAACATTTAATGTTATATTTGAGATTAATGTATTTAGTGTATTTTTGAATGGAATTGAAATAGAATTATATACAATTTTATTATATAATTTAAAATAAGTGCTATAAGCAAATTAAAAAAATTCTTATACACTCCAAAGCGTCAAGAGCCAGAACCTGAAACTAGTTCTTTATTCAGTGATGAAGGTAAGTTTAACTAAATTAATAATTATTGTTTATTGGATACTTCTAACCTAATAAACAATAATGTAATCTAATATAATGGTAAAGTAAAAAAATAATCACTGACAAAATTAATGATCTACATAGGTAGTTATTGAATAGTTAATTGTTATTGATTTTTTAATATCATATACTGTTTACTTTAAAGATGCTGGTAGTGACAAAACAAAAAATTTAAAAAAAAAATCAAAAATTTTGGATTATTTTAAGAATAAAAGTGAAGATCTTAATGAAGCTGTAGCCCATATGGATATAGCTCATGTAAATATTCATAATCCTCAGGTTAGTAAATTTAGAATTATCAAAAATTAAAATTAAAATTTTAAAATGTTTATAATATTATATTTATAGTGCTCAAGAAATAATGATGTAAATAATTTAATCAGTATTGGCAATAATGAGTTAAATGTTCAACGACTAATTGATACTTCAAGTGTAAATGACATTTCTTTACTTGTTAATAATAGTGACTTAAGTTTACAAGAAAAACTTGAATTTATGAATAAAATTTGGGTACCTGATTCTAATTATAATTTTCCTTTAAAAACTTTTGGAGTAAAAAATCTTAAGTTTCAACTTAATTGGTTACAAAAATGGAAATGGCTTACTTACTCAAAAATTTTGAATGGAGCATTTTGCAAATTTTGTGTTATATTCTCTCAAAAAGAAGGAGGGATTGGAAAACAAAGTTTAGGAAGCTTATGCACCAAAGAATTTTCAAATTGGAAACATGCTATTGAGAAGTTCAAGTATCACGAAGAAACTTGTTATCACAAAGCATGCATTGAAAATTATAAAGTAATGTCCCAAAAATCGTATGTCCCAGTAAATACTCAGTTGGATAAAGTAGCTGTTGCTGAAATGATTGAAAATAGGAAATTAATAAGATCTGTTATTGAAAGTATACTTGTGTGTGGACGCCAAGGACTGGCATTAAGAGGGCATAAGGATTCTGGACCTTTATCAATTGAGGAAGAACCTATTGAAAACGATGGTAATTTTAGGGCTATATTAAGATATGGACTAAAAATGGCATCTTTAGGTAATTCTGATTTACAGCTTATAAGAGAACGTTGTAAACGTAATGCACAATACTTAAGCCCAAAAATCCAAAATGAAATCATTTATACATGCAACAAATTAATACTCGAAAGGATAGTAAAAAGAATTAATTTATCTAAAGGTTTTTGTGTACTTGCTGATGAAACTGCTGATATTGGAGGAATAGAGCAATTTTCAATCTGTGCTAGATACATTTATAATGATGAAATACAAGAAGATTTTTTAAACTTTGTTCCATTGCATAACACTTCAGGAGAAAATTTAGCAAATACATTGTTAGACAGCTTGAAAAACTTTGGTATTGATTTACAATACCTAAGAGGTCAGGGTTATGATGGGGCAGCTGCAATGAGTGGCCGGTTTAATGGTGTCCAAGCTATAGTAAAAAAACAGTATAAAACAGCGGTATATATTCATTGTAGTGCTCATGTTTTAAATTTAGCTATTTGTAGTGCTTGTGAACTATCTAGTATCAGAAATACAATAGGCACAATTGAAGCAGTGTATAACTTTATGAATACACCAAAAAGACAATGTGTACTACAAAATGAAGTAAAAAGTAAAATTCCTGATTCTAAAAAAGAAAAATTAAAAAAAATGTGTGCTACAAGATGGGTAGAAAAACATAATTCTATCAGAACATTTGTAGAATTACAACCAGCTGTAATTAGTTCATTAGAAGTAATGAGTGGTTGGGTTGATAGAGAAACTTCCACAAAAGCATCACAATTGCTTCTGTCGCTTCGTGATACAACATTCAATGTCAGTTTAATGGTTATTGATGAAATTTTTAAGCATACATATGTGTTATGTAAATCATTACAAAGAGAAAACATTGATTTACTTGAAGCAATTAATCTGGCTGAGGATTTAACTAATGAGATACAAAAAATGAGACAAAATACTGATGCAGTCTTTTCAGTTATATTTAAGAACTTGGAAGAAAAATCTGAATGTCTTGATATACAAATTTGTATTCCAAGGACCTGTAAGCGTCAAATCAATCGCTGTAACATAATTAGTAAATCTCCAGAAGAATACTTCAAAATATCAATATTTATACCATTTTTGGATTACTTTTTAGATCAAATAAATAGTCGTTTTATTGAACACAAATTGGTTTTTAAAGGTTTTAAAATGTTATTTAAAAATGAATTGGACAATAATAATAACGACATTTTACAATTGATAGATTTTTATAAAGATTCGGATAATTTAAGTGAACCTGATATTGTAATGGCAGAAATTAAGATGTGGAAAAATGTCTTAAAAAGAACTGAAGAAGATCAAAAGCCAAAAACTGTAATACAATTTCTACAATTTTGTGATGAAGACTTGTTCCCAAATATATACAAGTTAATAAAAATATTATGTATATTACCAGTCACGACATGTACTTCTGAGAGAAGTTTCTCTTCATTAAGAAATCTTAAAACATATCTCAGAAATACTGTATCGGAAGACAGACTAAATGGACTTGCAATGCTTAATATTCATCGAAATGAAATCTTAACACCAGATGATATAATTGAGGAACTTGTAAAAAAAAACAGGAGATTAAAATTTTAAAATAATTATAAAGTAAATAATGTAATTTTTATAACATTTTATTACCAAATAAAAATTGATTTAAAATTATAGTACCTACCTATTGTTATAAACCTTTCTGTATATGTGCTGTGAGTGTGTGTATAACTATTGACTATTGTAACTATAGTCTATATTATAGTTATTAACAGTAATATGTTTGTAATGAATTAAACTATAATTATGATTAGAGAACAGATAAAATAAAAATTTTGGACCCCCCCCCATAAAAAAATCCTGGGTACGCCTCTGATTTAAACAGGTACCTAATATATTTTTTCAAATTTATTTGTAACATTTTTGTTACAGTATCAAAATTACTAAAATACCTATTTAGTGTTGGTGGACAAGTTTTATGAATAGTTTGACCTAGTCTAACAATGTTGGTTCACATTCTTTACTTGGGTACACATTGGCGCAATTTCAGTTTTTGACTTTGGGGGGCTATCCCTGTATATATCAAAGTTTGATCAATATAAATAAGCTAAGCTAAGCCCCCCCGTATTTGCGCCTATGTGGGTACAAGATAATATAATGGTTACAATATTGAAATGAGAAGATAATTCATATTATGACAATAGTTTTATGCTACATAAGAAAAATTAACTTAATCTTAGTAAAGTTTTTGAATTATGGAAAAAATAAACATTGTCATTTGTCGTATCGTTGTTTAATTATTTATAACATTATAATGGCTCGGAGAAATAAATGTGTGTACTTCAACTGCTTTAGAAGTAAAGTTGAAGAACCTAGTTTAACATTGTTTCATTTTCCCAAAAATGATCCTATTCGTGCACAAGAATGGGTTAAAAAATCAGGCCAGTAGTATATTGATGAATTAGTCTGGGTATATAAATAAATTTACAATAGGAACTTAGCAAGAAGCATTAATTTATAAAATATAAAATAATTTTAAATATAATATTAATTATTATGAAACCAAAGGTGGGCATACCAAGTAAAAAATTATTTTTTAGAACTTTTTAACTTACCTAACTACCTAGTTAGTAATTCATTTTGAATTACCATTGATTTTATAATAATATGTTATAATAGCGTACATTATAAAATCAAAGTAATTATGTAATCACTTAAAAATTTAACTAGGTACCTATTGGCTATTAGTATAAAACAATGTTAAAAAAACTGAATAATGCTATGTTTATATTTGTTAAATTAATAATTGACTATGAGATATGTATAAGGGGAATTCCCCTAGTCTGGAAATATTTACTAGGACTCTTTATTGTAAAGTTGTGCCCCTGTGTTCACTTAACTTGAGTTAACTATTTTTAATAATTTAATTACATTTTTATTTTCTAATTACATTTGTTCTGGTTTTTTTTTCTCAAGGAAATATAGACTTAACTATTTTAACTCATGAAGAACTTTCTGCAAAATATGTTTGTGCTCACCATTTTTCTAAATGTGACATTAGACACTAGACAGGCAGGTAATCGTGTCATATTGCATAAGACAGCCATCCCCCAAAAATATAATATTGACAACTCTTCTTATGAACTGCATCAATCTACAATGTTTCGCTGGCGCCATTGCGCTATTAGACAACTTTTCCCCACAAACCACACAAAGGGGAATTTGACAATCATTTTCGTCAACATAAGTGAACCCAAAATTTAAATAATCGTTGCAATATTGTCTATTGACCTTTTTTATTTTATTCTCATCATTGAAAGTAGGTATCATCATTGACATTGCTTGTATTCGTACTTGCATTATCAGTACCAGAATCATGTTTCCGTTTAAGAAATTTGTCCATTTTGTTATTAAAATGGTCGTTACAAATTTATAACTTTTATTAGTGCAGAAAATAAAATTGTCAATATCTATACGTATGTTATCGCAGTATGGTGGAGATTATCGTATAATATAATAATAATAACGTATATTAATATATTATATAGTATACTGACACATTATATTATTCGAAAGTTAACGATAACGTTTTTGTGTACAAAAATAAACCAACAAAACCTAAAATGATTCTATTTTGAAAGAATTTAGAATTTTTTTTTTTCACTGATTTTAAAATTTTGGCGGAACACCGGTTAAGAACCACTGATCTACATCATCAACACCATCACGAACAGATCCTTTATTAGTAAATACTCTAGACACTGATGATGAAATATATTTAAATGTTTTAAAACCGACACACACATATCAAAATAGTTCACCAGAAACACCAACATTTTATTTTTCTCAAACAAATTCAAATAACACTTTAGAGGAAGAGATTACTCTTCGAACTCAAAAAAATGGCCATAGTAAAACTTCAGCAACGCCTAATTTATCACTTTCCTCAAGATAATTTATACAGGAAATTATAAATATGCCAACTCCAAAAAAGTGCCAAAATTCTCAGCCTATAAGTTTCTCAAGTAATGACAATCCTGATAAAATTATTGTCGAAACACCAACTAAAAGAAAAATGAGAAATGTGATAGAAATTAAAAAAAAAAAAAATTAAATTGTAAATCATCAATGGTATGCAAACTACAAACTAAACTGTTTAATGTAAGAAATAAATTTAAAATTTCCAATAAATTTAAAAATAAAATAAACTATAGAAGTACTAATTGTAGAGTACTTTCTGAAAAAAAAATGCAAATGTTTCGAGTAAATAAATCTAGAAAACCGTGGTCAGTTGAAGAAAAGCAATTTACGATTTCGCTTTTTTATAATACACCTGGAACATTTTTGAGAAATGTACAAAAAATTAATGTACCTAGTTTAAGTACTATTAAAGGATGGATTGGTAGTTCAAAGTTTTCACCTGGTTTTATAAATAGTTATATGGAACAAATAAAAATTAAAGTTAACTCGATGGATAATGAACAAAAGTATTGTGTCATTGCTTTTGATGAGATGTACATAAAAAAATATTTGGAATATTCTAAATACTTGGATGTAGTTGAAGGTTATGAGGATCTTGGACATAAAGGAAGAAATGACAAAGTAGCCTCTCAAGCGTTAGTATTTATTGCCCGAGGCTTATACTCAAAATGGAAATTACCTCTTGCATATTTTTTATCTGCTTCGTCAACTGGATGTCTTGAATTGAAGAATTTAATAAGTGATGTAATTGAAAAAGCTTTAGAGGTAGGATTAATTGTTACTGCTATAATATGTGACCAAGGTAGTAATAACTGTGCTGCTCTAAAACAATTAGGATGTACCAAGAAATCTCCTTATTTTGAAGTAAATGGTAAAAAAATATTTTCCATACTTGATATACCTCACATTTTTAAAAACTACAGAAACAATTTTTTAAAAAATAATTTAGTTTTTGATGGCAATGAAATATCATTTAGTGACATAAAGACAGCCTATGAAATAAATAAAATGAGTGGAACAATTAGAGCATTTGCTAAAAATAACTGATAGTCATATTAATCCAGGTCCTTTCCAAAAAAATTAAGTGCAAACTCGCTCTTCAACTTTTTAGTAACACTGTAACTGCGGTTATCAAAACATGTGTAACTACAGGACAGATTAAGTCTATGACAGGTGCATATACAGCAAATTTTTTAAATCATATGAACGATTTGTTTGATTGCTTAAATAGCAAATGTTTGTATAGCTCCAATCCTAAAATGTGTGCATTATCTGAAGAACGGCCTAGCCAAATCCAATTTTTAAATGAAGCAAAAAGATTACATGAAAATATAAAATTAGTTAAACCTAATACAAAATATGGGTATCGTCTACCGTGTTTTGATGGTTTAGTGTGGTCAATTAATAGTATAACAATGTTATATTCACAACAAAAAAACTTGCAGTTCACCTATTTACGAACATCTAGACTCAACCAAGACTCTGTAGAAAATACGTTTGCACTATTTCGACAACGTGGAGGATACAACCCTAATCCTACAGCTCTTAGTCCAGTCATTTAACGATTTTTTGAGGAATTAAATCGGAAAGTTTTGATACTTTGCAAAAAGTTTGGTTATAGGCTCCTGATTAACCAAAAAAAAGTCGCCATTCCTCCGAGGTCCGGAAGTGTCCGCCATCTTGGATTTTAAGTGCGATTTTTCAGTTTTTTCAAATTATCTTTGAAAATACTAATGTTATATCAAAAATACCTCTATACAAAAATGTAGCTGATAAAATTTTAAATAAATAAGGTTTCATTATTTTTTTTTTAGCTTGAATAGGTTAAGAGCAAAATTTAACCATGTCTTATAATATTAAACGCGGCGCGCTATAATACTATATTATATATAGTGCGCCGCACTTGTGTCCACTAGAAAACGCAATATTTACGTTTCTTATATTTATTAACATATTACAAATAAACATTATTATTGATATACGCTATATTATAAATAATTTAAATATTATATAATAATATAATATATACACCACGTATTATATTATATTTTAGTAAAATATAAATATTAGGTATTTTATAACAGTATTATATAGGAAAGTACATTGAATAATTTTCAGAAGTAATACAACATTTTAATTTAAGTTGTGTTATTTACATTTTTTTTTTTTACAATTAATATTATTATTAGAATTCATTATACACATAATACAACATTCATTTTTTGCGTTTGGATGATGGACCATTTACTATTTCATCCTCGTCCTCATTAGAATTATCGTCGGACTCTTCTTCAATAATTTGCTGTTCACAATTTAAGCATGAAAGGCCAGAACATGTTTTGCACGCAGTAGAACACTTTAATCCTTGTTTTCTGCAGCCGCATGCTGCTCCACAATTTTTTGTACACGCACATGTAATTTTTTCTAAAATACATTTTGGCGCTGGTTCATTCCATGAAAATATTGGTTGCAGTCCATTCCTGGTTGTTTGCCATCCCCAATCTTTTGCATTTTTTTCTTCTCCATGCCACATTTGAACCTGGTGATATGTTCGATATATATTTTGTTTTAAAGCCTCTTTTGATGGGGGTAAGCTTGCCAATTTGAATTTATTTCCAGCCGTTTTTCGGGTGAATAATAAATATCGATATTCATCTATATTTGTTTGACTTTGTGGTGCACCATATAATTTTAATGTGTATCTTTCCCCGGCTTTAAAAATGTTTTCAGGTGTGTAGTTTGGGCAGTTAAATACATTTACTATTTCTTGAAGTTCTGGAAATTGGTTGAGAAGTTTGAAATGTTTTAATTTTCCAATATTATAGAAGCATGAAACAGTATCGCATCCACTTATAGCATGTAAAAATAAAATTGACATTTTTATACCATTAACCTTTTGGATATCTTGAATTGAATATATTTTTTTTTCATTTCCTCCATTTCCTGGTTTTAAAAATATGATCTGATTTTCTACCGGTGTAAGAGCTATTAATAAAACCAGTAAATCGATATCTTGACCAACTACAACAACAGATTGACTTTGTGCCCTCTTTATAGCTTCATTTACAATTACAGTGTCGGCATCGTCATTGGCTTGTTTAATAATGTAACCTTTACCTATCAAATATGAAGACAACATTTGTATCAATCTACTTTTGTTTCTTATATTTGATAAGAATGATGTTTGTGCAACAGTTAGAACCATATTTTCATCAAATAAAATGTCCGCCGAAGTATTTTTTACACGCCGATTACGTTCCATATTTTTTGTACTTGTCGAGCTTTCATTGTAGCCGTCAAAAACTATAACTGCATTGGTCCGAAAATGTTTTCTTATATAGGATAAGTACAGTTGAAAAATTTGATTGAAAGTTAAATTTAATTGCCACATAACTCTATGTAAAAGGAAACCACCATCTATTACATATAACGCATTACCAAGTGTAAAACTTTCAAGATTCGAAGACTGTATAAAATCGTACAATATCGATTTTTTTGTTTTCCTCATGCCCATTTCGTTAAATAATGAAAGTGGGTATGGAGACAACTCATATTCAAAATAACTTTTGAGTTCTTCATTGGATGTTTTCATTATAGAAATTCTTTGAAAAATTAAAAGTGGGTCTATAGATATTATTTCTTCTCTTATTCTAATTGAAGAATTTAAAATAGCTATAGGTAACACTCTTTTGCTTCTCTTAAGTTTAACTGTCCCATATGTTTGTCCTATAATTTTTTTCATCTCAATTAACCCGATTTCATAAGCGTTATGACAGTTAATAGTTGTATCTCCTACTACACCAGTTGATATTGAAATTATTTCATTTAGTTCTAAACAAGGGGGATGCGACGAAAACCATTTAAGTAATATATTTAAATCGTTAGTATCTCTAGATATTCGTGATAACCTGGCGTCAACATGTTGTTCTGAATTTTCCATATAAACACCACAATATTTTTCTAAATTTTCACAAACATCGTGTGCAGCTGGTAAGCCTTGTATCCACTTATTCAAAGTGCTATCGGTGATACCTCGGCCATGTGTGAGACCGCCAATAGTTTTCATTGAACGCATTAAAGTTTGTTC